CCCCTTTGTTGGACTTGACTTCCAAGTGGATGCATGTAGGAACCAGCCAATCTTCACACGGAAGGCACGGGACGGGTTGGACCAGAGGGTGAGATGGTGAAATATCCTTTTGTGATCTCCCGATTTGAATAAATTAACAAAATAGTACCATTCGTTCATTAAATCGACAACTTGTTGGAGCCGATACATGTTTTAATTAGTTGAAATAGGAAGTACCTGATTTAACTTACATATCTGTGATAATAAATAATACTATCTAGGCAAGACTGACTTCGAGGGTATTTTCATAATCGACTTGGTTAAAAGTATTCGATCTCACAAATTAGGAGTCTCATGTTCGAGCAACTCCTGAACTAGCACGTAGCAAGGCTTTAACTGTTTACATTGAAAATTGATTGTAGTTACAGGGACTCTTAGGCCAACACTTTAGATTTGTGCTAGTTAAAATTTGCTATTAAACAGTGGCAACTTGTGTTTTATGCGCCTTATTGCCGTCAATTTTGGTGCAATTTGAAACTGTAGATGTAATTTAGTGAAAGTGTACCCGTGACTGTGGCGCGTCCTCGATTTCCCGCGTCCTTTCTTTTATTCCTCTCAATTTGTGGGTCATCGCCAACGGAATCGTACAAATTAATATTCAACGGATAACGATCATTGTTGCCGCGTCATCGCGCCGGATAGACGATCAATCTTTTCGGGGAAGCAGAGAAGAGAAATAGAAAAAAAAGCGAAGTACTGTTTTCTCGCGGGACTATTAATTAGTATTATTCCGCGTGCAACTAACGTTGCACGGGTCTTGCATGCACGAGTACGGTAATTGTTATTAGTATGAATGCGCCCCGACTAATTACCGCTGTCGACTTTAGAAAGCGTAAAACAAATAAACGTGGTCCTATATTTGTCTGCGTTTGGTGGTAACACTGGGTTTATTCGGATACGTATTTCTTGATGGCTCGCAAACTTCCCTCGAATTGCGCAGAACTACTCGCTGTGTAGTGCTGATTGCATAAAGAATTGTTATTAAACAACAAAGTCCAAGAGGTGATTCGTTGCGTAATCGTCAAGTAAAGGGGAGTAACGGAATCACCATGTGCCTTAGAACATATGGATTCGTCAAGTTCGTTTCCTAAACTCCAAGATAATTATTTATTTATTAATAGACAAGACTTACTTGATGCCTTCTAGCCACCTAAAATGTTGACTTGTACTCATATCTTTTGGCTACGTAATTGTTGAGCCGGGGCTCATATTATCATACCTTCTGACTACGTAAAGATTCAACCTGGGCCTCATGTGATGCCTTCTGGCCTCCTGGCTACGTAAAGCTTGGGCTCATATAATGCCTGTTGACTACGTAAGGTGTTAGCTTGGGTCCATGTGATATCTTCTGGCTACTTAAAGTTTTAGCTTTTGCTACGTAAATCTTTGGTTGGGCTTGTATGGTGCCTTCTGACTACGTAAATTTTAAGCCAGGCTTCATTTATTGCCTTCTACGTAAAGTTTTAGCTCGGCCTCATGTGATGCTTTCAGATTGCGTAAAGTTTCCGGTGGAGCTCATCCGATGCCTTTTTGCTACGTAAAGGGTTTTCGTTGGCCTTCCGGCCTCCTGGCTACGTAAAGTTTTAGCTCGGGCTCATATAATGCCTTCTGACTACGTAGCTTGGGTTCATGTCATGCTTTCTGGTTACGTAAAGTTTTAGTTTTGGCTACGTAAATCTTGGGCTTTGGCTTAGATGGTGCCTTCTGACTACGTAAGGTTTAAGCCAGGCTTCATTTATTGCCTTCTACGTAAAGTTTTAATTTGGTGTCATGTGATGCCGTCCGTGAGTGAGCATTCTGGCTTCTTCAGAGCATAACTGAAACTGGGCCCTACTGCTGCGTTATATTATCTGTGGTAGCTTGGCTGATGTACTATTCATTGGAAATTGTAGAGTTTGCCGTTGTAGCTGTCATAGGGTCTAACTTATTTATAGTATTTTACTTTTTATTATCAAAAATTAAGAAACATTAGAATCAATAGGCGAAATGTCACTCAAAATCCATATTAGTATTGACAGAACGAATGGACATGTTTTATGAATCATAGTTGCATCCACGGCCCCATATGTTTTTCTTCAGTATTAAACTTTATAAACAAACAAAACTCATTTATTGCTAACTTCAGATGATTTTTTTACATCTTTAACCTTATTTTGTGGTACAAAAAATATGACCACTGACGTGTTGGTATTAAATTTTAGGTTCTGAACTGAATGGATAATGCATAATTTAGGTCCTCTTTAGTCTTTATCTGTGAATGGAGTAAATCGTCAGCATAATGATAAAGTTATATTTCAAAATAGAAAGAAAGTCATGCTGAGAAGAAGATCTAGAAAGTAATGACGACATTACTGCAATTTGTCAGACATCGTCAATCCACGATGTCATTCATTGTTGATCAGTAAAGCCAAAAAGTTTTGGAAAGGTTTTGAGCAATTTGAGCATAGAAACACCTGTAGGGGGAATTACTAGTAGATAAAGTTGCAGTTGATAGTGGTCAACCTTTTGCGTGAATGTGCAAATGTGGTGAAGAATTTGGAAAATCTTGTAAAGATCTTTATGATATGTGTGTGTATGTATAATGTTCTTCTTTGAGACAAAATAATCAGGTGAGAGGTTATTATTATTATTGTTATTAATATTATTTATTATTATTAATATCATTATTATTGTCGTTAAAACATTTATATATTGCCCAATAAAATTCTGGAAAGCTCCTAACAAAAACCTCAACATCTACGAAGTGGTTCCAGAACTGGTGAAAATTTTCGATCTCTCAACTTAATCCCAACTAATTTAAGTTGTTTCCGTTTACCCGCCTTCTAATTTAGATGGGTTTAAAGCGAGCGTCTTTAAGTGATCCGCGTCAATGATTAATTAACACTTATTACGGTCGAGATATTTTTGCAGGTGGACGTTAATCGAAACGCATTTTCTTTTGATTCTTATTTGCGCGAGTTAACTGGTTAAAACGCTATCGACGAAAGTCCGTATTTTTTAAATCAAGGGCACTTTCTCCGTTCGGCGAAAACAAAGAGGGAAAAACAAAATCGACCATCGCGGAGGAGAGCTCATTTACACGCCACCAAATTACTTTCTACTTATTGAAATTAGTCGTGTGAAACTTGTGCGTTCGGTACGCTTGCTTGGATGATAAAGGTAGACACGCACGTACAGTTTTTCTTCGACGTGTCCACGAAATTCTATTCGAAAGCGATCGCCACATGAATAATAAATTTTAGAGGATTTCTATATATAGCATTTTTTAGGATTGAAAAAAAATCTTAATACTTGTGTAAGCTTTTCACAGAAGTTACTATCTATTCTCAATTAGTTTTGGATTGAGGTTTGACACAGTTTGTCACCATTACCACCAAAAAGAATCAACGTCCGTATTGTGCCATTGCATATCTAGATTTAAGCCTCAGTGTGTCGTTTTGCATCGATTAAAAACTGTATCTACCTTAAGGCTCCGAGTTCAATGGCTCTCGATTAAAAATAAATAATTCGTTTCTCGTTGTCGACTATTTTCCCAGTTTGAAAAAAGATGAATCCGTAGCATCAGTTTATTCCGAAGCCGGTCCTGCGTCGCGTGCGGCCCACCAAATTAATAGCTATTTAGGCCACGCACAAATGCAATATCTATTAATACCTCGTAGCGAATGATTTCGCTTCGATTCACTTTCTAAAGACTTTTCTCTGTACGTGACACCAATAAACACCGTTTTGTTTTTCGGGCATCGATTTATTAATATTCCCGAGGAAACTTTTAATTAAGTGGTTAATTAACTTAACTATCTTGATATATTTTTTGGGAAAATTATTACCTTATATTGTACAGGGAGGATGTTTTTAGTCGCTTTAGTGGTTTCACACAAACCGAATTGGTTAGAAGTCTATGTCTTAGGTTAGTAAGTAGAAAAATCGAAACAAATCATTCATAAGAAAAGGGCCTTCTATGTTGGGAATATAGAACAATTTAATCGGAGTATGGTAGATGATGTCGACGTCAAATGATTCCAGTATCAAATAAATCATCTAAATACGGAACCAGAATCAAAATTGCTTTAAAACAGAGTTGACTAATACAAAACGGATAGTCTACAAATCTAAATAACTTATATACAAAATAGATATCAGCAAAAACTGTGCTACTTCTGACGCTTTTAAAGCCCGTTGCACACCAAGGCAACAGTTGGCAACGTATAGCATGCAACAGTCTTTTGGGAAACTCTGCAGTTGCACAAATAGGTTTCCATTGCCTGTTGCTGTCGATCCACAATAATACGTAATTTTGTGTATACATTTTTGAACCTTTTTGTTGTATAGAATTAATGAAATGCTTTACAGATACATTTATAACTTATACGAATCGCCATTTGCCAAAAACCTGAAAGTTATCTTTCTTGGCATAAACTATATTGTGTAAACAACGCCACTTTTGTTTTTTATGGACGCATTATAAAAGATCTAATAAAAGAAGACTACCAAAACTGCGAAGAACATGAAAAAAATGGCTTCAAGAGCCGGACGCTCATGTACAGACCACAATATTTGCATTGAAGTACAAGAAAAAATGTCCAATATAATAATTGTTGACTTAGTCAAACCTTACGACATTGTTCCAATACTTTGGGAAACAATGAGGCAACATTTGTATGAAAACCTGACGCTCCAAAAATATTTAAAAAAAAGTGCGACACTATGATTTTCAAATTGCAAATTATAACACTATACACAGTACAATTTATTGATGACGACATAGTAATTGCTCAATCAGAAGACTAGGAAACTATTGCAGTTAGCATTGAGAAAACTAAAGATATAATGATAATAATAATGATAATATTATAATAAACGGCTTTTTTTATGAGCAAAAAAAAAAACATATACATATTCACAATATAATACAAACACTTCCGACTGAATCAGGGCGCAATCTACCCGAACGGGCTACTCTACTGAACCCCAAATCGTCGGATTATTGCACATTGTTTTTTTTTAATTATATGAGAAAATTAAAATATAATGTTGTAAGATAGAGGTTTAAGGTAACTTAAGATTAATAAAAAAAAACAACTATATACACTGACAGAAACTGGGAGCTACAATACTATTCTTTCAAGAGAATCTGTATAGGAGAAAAATAAAATTACATGTAAATAACCAATTAAGCTCTTTAAATGTGTGCGAGATATGGTCATATTTTTTTAGTCCTAAAATAAGGCGTGAATATGTATTTTGCACTTTTTGAATTCTATTTTTGTCTGCATGTACACCACAATCATTAAAGTACACTCACATATAGCTCCGAACAATGACTGAAAGGGATTAAAAAAAATACTGGCCACGGAAATTAATCCATTGCGAAGATCGGTGAGAATGTCAAGAGTGAAACATAACAAACGAACGCGTGAGAATTATAGAGGAGATAGGGTAAAAAACGCTGATATGGTACGGGCATGTAAGTAGAATTAATGACAATAGACTAGCATAGCAAGTATTAGAATACAAGAAACGCTTCTACTTATTCGAAAATTTTTCGCAACCTCAATGCTTTGTCAAATTTAAAACGGTCCAGTTTCTACAAATATTCGTTATGGTCAAGCAAGACATACTTAATGCAGAAAAAATATATGTTGGGATGGGTTTTACCGCGCTTTTGCGAAGGTCTGCGGTTAAGATACTGTAAAACACTTAAAACGTCAAGGCAATAAATGCACAATATTGTTGGTCGTACAATTGATAAATTCCTAGAACGGTCCTGGAATGGTTACGGGTAAGGGTCTGCTCGGCAGGGTGTTCTATGAGGGGCCTGCGGTTTTGGAATAACAAACAGTAGGCAAAGTTAATCAAGGGGTAGGTTGTAAAATACTATATTTCTGGCTGAAGTATACGTAGGAGTGATTTTTTCTTGTTGTCAAGAGATCATCTTGAAGTCACGCTGCGCGCGCGTACCTATCCCACATCTGAATCCAGTGACCCAGTTGTGTGGGTGGTTGTAGTAGTCTCATTGTTCCGAGTCTCGCCTCGTCTCGAAGTAGGTTAGTGCAACGGGCGCGGTGGTGGGGCGGAGAACGCGCGACCACGCTACGACGGAGCTTTTCCAGGTTCCGCGGTTAGTCAGTTGGTCGTGCAGCCGACCAAGTCGCGGTCGTACTTCGGGCCTGTCCGCGCGCTATCTCTCTCGCTCTCTCTCGCTCGCCGCGCGTGTGAGTGCGTGCTTGTATGTGTCTATATGTGCGTCTCGATATAATATGCGAACGAAACGACACCTAATTATCGCATGAGCATGAGTCCAGCGTCGGCCGGGCCGCTCGAGGTGGAGCGGTACATCGGCGCCTGTCTAATTTCCCAACACCACCGTTCAAATAACAAGAACAACCCGCGCAACCTTTACCATCGCAACCCTTACGCCGCCGGTGGCGGCGGCGACGGTTGGGCCGGCGGTTTGCCCCTCATATCGTTCGCCAACCACCAGAGACGTGACAGCCCCCTGGCCCGATTGGCGGTTCACGCCCGCGGCGCCCCCCTCATCCTCGCCAAGAGCTACCAGCACCGGAAAAATAAACCGCAGCGGGCGGTCGGCAACGACGTCGCCGCCTCCCCCGCCGTGCAACACACCAAAGTGTTTGAGAACTCGAACAACAAGAAACTGAACGTGGACGCGATCAGTGTGGCGAGCGATGAAAGTTACGGCTCCCAAAATTCGGAAACGTGCCTCCCGCGCATAATAAAACCGCGCAAGCGGCGGAAAAAGGACCGCAAAGCGCCGCCGCCGCCGCAGCCGCCGCCTCCGATCAACGTCAATCACGCGCATCACCACCGCCACCACCATCATCGCGTGCCGTACGAGGGATTTTTGCCGCCTTTCGCGCTACCCTCGGTCGGATGTTACGACGACGTCTCCGACGACTCGTCGGAGACGCCCCAGCTGCACCACTCGTTCGAAGACGTCGTCGAAGCGAACGACCCGAACGGGAACCAACCGAGCAGCTCGTGCCAGTGCCGTTACTGTGATCCCTCCGGCCAGATCTGGGACGTCGACCGGAGCTGTTACTCGCCGTTGCTGACGTCGCCCAGGACGTTCCGGTTTCCGGGCGGCGTCGGCCCGCCCTCGCCGCCCGACGACTACTGTCTCGGGATGGCGTCGATCGTCCTGGACGACGACAAGTCTTCGCCGACGTACTCCAGATCGTGGTCGTCGTCCAGCAGCAGCTCGTTCGGTTCGGATCTGGAGGTGTCTACGGAGATCGTCACGTCGCTGAACGGACTCCGGGACCTGGAAATCAAGTTCTTCACGCCAGCCTCCGCCGCCAAGGAGAAGGAAACGAACAGATACTCGTAGTGCTGCGTATGGACGTGCCCAAATCGGTTGTTTTGCAATTTGCGACGGCAGAAAACATTGATCAAAATAATTTAAAGAGTCCAAGGTAGTTACGATGTGAGGTTCGTTCCAACGTCGTACCGAACCACGATCACGCGCACTAATTCAAAATCCCATCGACGGTCAAAACTTCAAGACGGTGTTTTAATCTTAAGAAATCTGAGTTGGCGAAGCACTACTTTCGTTGCTTGCACAATTTCAGTAAATAACAAAAGTCAACACGCGATGCTATCGTTTTTAGTATTGTTTAGGGTCTTATTACTAAAATTCGAGTTGGAACAAACCTAAATTGTTTGTTCTTTATCGATAATGTCTTCGCCGGGTTCATTTGCCAATTTCCACAGTTTGAGATAATCCGACCGGCCCGTCCTTTTGCGTAAGTGCCGTTTATTTTTGTTTCGAAATTCGTCTCGGAAAATCGCTAATTATTGTTATACGTCGACTGGGAAAATTATTGCTATTGTCCGCGTTACATTTCGCCGGTATCGTGCGGGTGCTCTGCAATCGTCCGTGAGAAAAAAAAAACCGTCGGCCACAGACACCTGTAAATTATTCGAAATCTGTTTTGGTATACGTTGTCGAACGAGTGAAAGGTATTCCGATGAGGTATTTAAAGGTCGCCCACCGCCTTGCGCAAAATCGCTGGCAACGTTTTCCGAAGGCGCGCTCGAACGGTAATCGTAGTAAAATACGGCCCCGCCCCCCGCCTTTAACCCCATCCGTTTTATCCTTCGGGTTCGAAGGAGAAAAAATTCGACTTTATTACGGGTTTGCAAAGGAGATTGAAGCGATTAAAAATAATCGGGGGTCTTAAGTTACTTGCAGAGCATGTACGAATGTGTAGATCATGGAGAAACTGACGATTATGTCAGGGAATATGTTTCAAGCAAAACTAGCCCACCCTCCAGCCTAGGCCACGAGAAAATATAAAGCTTGTTCCAACTTTAGTTTGCAAGTCCCCGGTACTAGTCCCGAAAGATGTTGTGACACTCAAAACATATTTAAGAAAAAATGTTTTTATATAAAAACAAACAAATTTTATAAGGTGATATAAAAAACTATTCTATTTAAGAAACGTACGACTAATATATATTATTTTTGAAAATATGCCGCACGAGGGTGGAGTGAAAAGTTTCCGGCTGACCAAGCAAAACGACGTTCTTATTATTATTATTTTTGCTTTATCTGTCAGCATAATTAACACTGATACAGTTCTCGTAACGGTGTTCTAACTTGTTTATGCCAGTTTTAAACGTAGATTCGTCAAGCTCCTCAAAATACCGATTTACAGCTTCGGTAGCTTCTTCCAACGCTATTTGATGGATTTTCTCATTCATTTCCGATATTGTGACCTCAACGGGCCGCCCTGAGGGGGCCCGTCAGAGGTGCTCACACGACCAGTTTTAAATTCAGAAACCCACAGCTTAATAGTTAAATATGATGCGGAGATAGCTCCCCTAGTGTTCTTTCATTTGTTTAAGTGTAAAACCTTTCAAACAGAAGTATTTGTTGGTAGCACATTTTTCCAATTTTTCCATTCTCACGAAAACAACGGAATGTGGAAGCGGAAACTTTTCATCCCATCCTCGTAAGTGACTAGGTTAAATGCCGGGACTGGAAAAGTTGGTTCCAACCGATTCTATAACGGACAGGGAACCACGCCAGAACCGGAAATTTTCAGTTTGCCAAAAATTTTTCAACGCATTAAAATTAATAAATAACTTGGTCGACTGGAAATTACCTTTCCGAAACAGTTCTCGTGGCCGGTCGGAACAAAGCTTTTGCGAACCAATACGTGGATGTTGATTGGTTTTCGTGGTTCTTATTTTGGTTATAAATGTATAGACTATCCCAGAAAAGCCCCAAATACATTTTGGAATGGACAAGAAACTTTCCATTTCCATCTTTTAAGTTTAATGCCTAATAACAGTATCCGAAATTGTTCCAACCACGCTTTGAAAACTATGCTGGAACAAACCTATAATATACTGGGTTCGCCATTTGTAACAAAACTTTTCGTTTTTTGTTTTTCTATAGAAAGCCGAAGTTTTGTATGTCCGTCAGTGGAGACGTAGCTTTACGGAGAACCCAGTAAATTTAGTCAGTCGGGCTCGAAATCTATTTCGCGTCGAAACTTTCTCTCCGCAAATTCGTCCCGGTCGTTTACACCAGATTCTTTCGGTTCAATTGGTGCATTTTCGCGTTTAAGGACCCCCCGTTCGATCTCTCGTTTTCTCGTATAGTTTGTTTTCATTTTTTATAAGTAGCGTGTACTAACTAACTTTCACCGTTTCGTATTCGAGAGTGTGATTTGATATGAAGTACTAAAAAATAGTGTATGGACGGATCCGCGAGCCCGTGGCTTTCGTTGAATTTATACAGGACGTTTCAAAAAACATGCGCCGATATGTCGTCATCCAAATTTACGAAGAATTAAAAAAGGAAGAAACAATATTATCATTATTCCCATATCGGGAGGTATGTTTTGTGTTATACTTTGAATAAGCCACTAACAATGCAACTTTTTTGTGTGGTTTTCGTATCTTGTCTCGTTTCCGAGCAAAGAAATAAAAATAATGAAAATTATCAACATGTATTTTCATAGACATTTATTTCAGGACCGCTTGATATCATAAGAAACTTAGTTTTAAAGAAAATAACCTTAAAAGAAGTGATCAGATCAGAACAGAGCGTTGGCTCACGATTTTTGAAACACCTTGTATTTTACCGGCATGACAGTGCACTTCGAGTGAAAAATCTGTTAACTTAAAAGATTAACAGCTGTTTGGGCTGGTTTAGGCTTGTACTTCGTTAAATATTCGATTTTTGTTTTCATTTTTATGATGAGGTGTGTTTCAAAAGAAAGAAAGATATTAATAAATAAATAAAAATAATAAAATAAAATAAAATAAATAAATAAATAAATAAAAATAAAATATTAAATAATAACGTTGTGATTAATAAACGTATTCAAAAATATATATAATTCGTAAGAAAATGGACCCCAAAAATCGTCTAAAATTACTGAAATTCAAATTTAGGCCGCAAATAGTTTTGCAAGGTTGCTATTGATAAAATCTACTTGCAAAATAATTTAAAACATTTTCGCACTATATAGTTGTTGTTGAAACCTCAAATAAATTCCGACAAATTAATTTTTAAAAAATTGTTTAAAGAAAATTTTAAATGTCCACTGTTTGGGAGTCAAATAAGTGTAATATATTATAACGATGACTTAGTTGTTTTTTAAATCATTTAAAGAATTTCGGAAATAAAATAAACATTTTTTTTTTCGGTTTTCGGAACGTTTTTTGAAGCACCGAGTTTATATTGTAAAGACTTATAAATGCGCAAAGTTTTATGTTAAAAAATAACTTCTTCATATCACCTCTTTATTTATAGCAGGTTCTTTTTAAAATTATGCACGCCACTGTCTCTGGGCCGTCCATCCGACATTATTTAAAAACCCAAAACCGAAATGCGTTTTGCCGGACCAGAGCGGACCGGCAGAATAGATGAAGACATCCTCGAATGCTAAGTGAATACCAAGCGGCCTCCTCGGGCATTCTCTCTTCAGGTAGTTAAAACGCGAGACGATATATATAAATGCCGCGACGTATAACCATGATAGGCTGTGGGAAACCCATTTTTTTCTCGTCGCGACCGAACCCATTTAATTGGTATACCGGAGGATAAATGAACGGCCGCCGGGCCGATTTGATTATTCAAAAATAAAATAGGAAGAAATTGGCGTTCGCGACATTCCGATTTCCTGCGTTAATTCGTCCGACCGCGTTCGTTTCCCGTTTTAGGACGTCGTATACCGGCCCCGTAATCATAACGGAGCAATAAAAACGTCAAATATAAGAGTGCGCCTATGTGTTAAATTAATTTGCCACAAACGTGCGGCGTTTTTCCGTTTTTTCTGTCCTAGACTTTTTGTGTTTGGCTCTCTTGCGAGTCGTTTTCGCGATACGTGTACGTTAATTTTCTTTATTAACCGTGACACTTTATTTTCGTTTGTTCTTTGTAACCTTTTCTTTTTTTTTATTTATTTGTGTTTCGCACGACGTTTTTGTTAATTCGGTGCGCCGTTTTAGGTTTACCTGTATATTGTATTGATCTGAATAAAAACGATACCCGCTTGAATTTTTGTTTTTTGTTCGACATTTATTATTCGTGTCGTGTGGAAATTTTATTTTATTTATTTATTATTATTTTTTTTGTTAATTTTTTTTAAAATCTATTAAAATTTATATTTAGGTTGTTTTCAAAATCCTATAAATAGATTGCAAAAAACTCCAAAATTAACGTACAATTGTACTTAATATTTTATGCCCTTTCAAAATTCTTCTTGTAGCTTTTCGTTTCAATTTTATAGATTATGGATAGATAGATATTTTATTCACACAAATACTGTTAACTGGCAACAAACGTTTCCTAAAGCGGACTAATTAAATCCGAAGTTTGGTGCTTTTTTAAATTAACAATAAAAGACATTTAAACATTATTTGTTATTTTGACATTTAAAATGAAAAAAAAAAAGCTCTCGGTATATTATGGTCTTTTATTTTTATTTGTATTGATTGAAGTGAAATGCAGTTCCTCTATCCACGTCCAGAGATAACATGAGCACGTTTTCTTTGCTAATTAAGACAGAGTGAAAATTGCAATGGCAATCTGTCTTGCGAGAGATTTCTTAATAAAAATAGTTGTCGGGATTGTTGTGAGGTGATTTTCCGAGGTTAACCCTGAATGCAAATAAATAAATGTAAAGGTAACCACCTGTGATTTTGAATTATTTAATGACAGTTGTTTATCCAAGAACCATTGTCGTGTGGTAATCAAGATTGACAATATTTGAAAGGTGATAACTTTGCTCGAAGGTGGTAGACGATGATTCAGTGGAAATACCAACATAAAATTAAATTTCAAATAAAAACTATTGAAATTCGACAGTCCCTTAGTAATTGCTGTTGCTAACAATCAGCAAATAGAACTGGGTACATGAGCTGTTGCTTTTTTGAATGACATACGTGCATTAATTGATTGGATGGAAAAATATTCAAGTGGCGTCAAGGTACTTTTCAAATTTTTCCAAAATATGACATGTGGTGTAGTTTATAGCTATAGTTCTAGTTTTATTCTTTCGAAGTACAAATTACTATTGATTCATTTTTAATTATTTGAATTGAAAATACGAATAATTAATAACTATTTTTTTAAAATATTTTTTATGTTTTTAAAGCAATTCTTCGGAACGTTCGTTTTTAGTGATTTTTTAAAATTTCAACTCATCTTTGTGTAACCCATGCTGTAATAATTATTCTAAAATACTTTAACGGTGAGCAGTTGGAATGTGACCACCTCGTATAGGGCCGTAACGATAAGGATTTCAATTATCGTTTATCTTTTATGTTAATTTCCGTTAAAAAAGCTTTTGTCGGGTCCGGGCGACTAGTAGATAAAAAGAAAGTTCCCAATCGTCATAAATAACTGTAAGTAACCGCAAAGAACCACAGTTAAGTATTTTAATGAATACTTTCACTTCCAGCCGACACAACGGAGCTTTATCGCTCCACTCCCCGCAACGTTATCTCGAACAGTAAATTTGTTTTTCAGTTGTTTTTAGTCGGTAACACCATTCGGGCCAGGTCCGTAATCGTATTTAAAAAAAAATAAAATTCTATTTAAAGTAAGTCGAATTGAAATAAAGTCTTTAGTGGATTTGCGTATGTGTATTTCTCAAGCAATCAAAACTTGCCTGTTATTGTTTTACTAATTTTATGAATATATTAAATATTTAATAAATCATTAATTAATATCAGGCAACTGAGAACTGCAAACTATACGAAGGATGCGTTGAAGCAATTAAAAATTGTACAATTTAAATGCTGTTTGAAACGCGCTGTCATTGGCTGTGACCGGCTGTGACGTCAATTCGCTGGTTAGACTACACGCCAACTGGACGGTAGCATAGAGAAGTCATTGGAGAACGACAACGCGTTCATCGTAGTCTTAATTTTAATTTTAGTCTTCATCCTGTCGCTTGCTCTTGTTATCTGGCGTTTAGTATAGAAAGTTTTGAAAATAACCGAAGGCGATTTTTTAAAAAGGTGTCAATCTGATAATTTACCTTTACTGGATATGCTTATGGTGACATCTTACAGGCAAAACACCCAAAAATTTTTCTTTTGCTAAGGTTCGCAGTGTAAAAGCTACAAGGTACGTTCATAAAAAATTTAGCCACCAATATAATATTGTAATCAGTTTTCTAGTTTTTAAAATTCAAATTGCATATCAAATAAAATTTAGTTTATTCAAGAAAAAAAATGAACTTAATAATAACTTAAAGTGTTCTTTATTTTATATAGGCAGGAAGCATATATGGAGACTGCAATAGGATGGGTGCAAGTTCGAAGAGTTAAAAATATTTGCACCGTTGACACCCGAAAATAATGTTACCAAAAATGACAGCTTTTATTTTCGAATAAAATAGCTTATCTGATCTTCTACGGGTTGTAATTTTGTGTTTGTGTTACTTCCGTTATTATCACGTCAAGCACGCTAAGCCCAAATACAAACTGGCGTAGATTAAATACAAAGATACTTTACGCGAGCCAAAAATAAACGTAAATAATATAATTCTCGGTCTATAACCTCAGAATAACATTGTAACATATCGCCGAATCGATCGAAAAGCAGCGGTATGACGTCACGATCATTCCCGCACGTTTAGTGTCGTTTAAAAGGAATAGTCGGATGTCACATCTTGAATTATTTATGGCATCTTAAAAACTGGGTTTGGAGTTTTGATATGGTATGCCTTATTTCTATACATAAGCGATGATGTATTAGCAAAACAAGTGCGACAAACGAGTGACTTAAAAAGTTTACTACGACCGTTAGTTTTTCGGTGCATTTTCGCAAAACAACACGAATCGTCAGAATTGATAAACGTCAAAATTCAAGACGTGGGAAATATCTCCGAAAACATCCGATGGCTCTCAAATCCGCGCGGAAATTCCAGAAGTGATGCTACCCACACGCTAGATCGGTGTGTAATTAGGTATTTTACAGACAGGAGTAGGAAAATGTATTAAAGAAATGAAAAATAAAAAAGGTTTAAGTTCTCTATTGCAAATGGATTTTTACATAATTTTTTCCATCACTATATAAAAACAAAATTGAGCGCATTTCAATTTAATTTATTCTCTTAATTTATTTAATGATAATGGTAGTGATTATGATGATGTTAGGTTTTGTTTGTGTTCCTCCATCGTCAAGATTTATTATTTTTGAAGCCATCACTTTTTATTTAGGGTTTTTCAAGTTTTTTTTTATTTAGTTATTTTTCATGTCATAATTTTAAATAATTATAAAATATTAAAAAAAAAAACATTTGTATAAGCGATTTCTTTTTAAATAAAAAAAATCCAATATAAAAAATCCGAGTAGACAGATAAATAGATAAAATAATAGCCCGAGCACAGTGTACTCTCGAAAGGACATACAGTTAGGCAAGGAAATGTTTTGACATAGTAAAAAAAGTTTTTATTCTGCATTTCATCATTGATGAGAACAATTTCTACTTCATTTTTAAATTTTCCTTTATTAACTCATGTTTAGTCACATATTTACTAACCAACAACGACAACGGAAACCCCCCTATAAATTTTTATTAGGAAATAAGATCAAAAATCAAAAGAAAGTCTAGAATTTCATTGTCAAGAAAATGTTTTTACAATTTATTTTTTATCCGTATTTTCCACCTTGGGCAGTTTCTACTTTTTGAAATACAATTTATCTTAGTCAAGCAATCGTTGAAAGTTATTTAGTAATGGTTATAGGTAATGGTTTGGGGGTGCATATCTAGTAAAGGAGTTGGAGATATTTGTTTTATTGAAAACACCATGGATGCCAATCAATACTTGCATATCTTGAAGTCTCATCTTGTTGGCAGTGCAAACATGTTTGGGTTCTATTCTAATCAGAAACCAAATTTTAAGTTTTATCAGGATAACGACCCAAAACATAAGGCTCTTTACAACTGTGGTAAAGTACTGGATACTCCTGCCCAGAGTCCAGACTTAAACCCAATTGAAAATTTGTGGAATTATTTGAAAAAAAAAACATTGCCAAAAGACTTCCGAAAAATCAATGTGAGTTGAAAGCTATAATTCTGGAGGAATGGAATAAAATACCAGCAGAATATGTGAAAAAATTAATTTATTCGATGAAACGCCGTCTTCAAGCCGTGATTGATGCTAATGGCAGTCACACAAAATATTGAAATCGTAGAATCAAATATGCATCCCGTATTTTGCAATTTATATTAGTATGTAAAAACATTTTCTTGACAATTAAATTCTAGACTTCCTTTTGATTTTTGATCTTCTGAATCTTAAATTTTTTGGTTTTTCGCGTTGTCGTTATTTGTTAGCTAATATATGACTAAACATGAGTTAATAAAGAAAAATTTTAAAAATGCAGTAGTTATTGTTGAAAACAATAATGAAGTGTAAAATAAAAACTTTTTTATTATGTCAAAAGACTTTCTTGACTGACTGTATATACGAGTGCAAAGGGTTAAAACACTGACCGCTTCGCGCGATTCTCGTGATCTGTTGTTTTTCCGCTGACGACGCTGATCGCATCTGCGTTACGGCGGGCTTTATATGTATAAATTTCTTAATCGCCAATCGCGTATTTATAATTGAGTCGTACAACCCGGAACGTTTGTAAAATTTACGCGCCTTCCGATAGATAATAATATAATAACGACGATCGCGAAGAGAGAGAGAGAAAAAAAATGCTCCCCGCGCCCGACTAACATCGTGCGTCTGCGTGTTGTAAAACTATGTTTACTTGCACGTGTACAAAATAAATATTTAGCGTTTGACGCTGATTGCCGCTAACGGTAGTGCACGGCGGAATTGCATAATGAAGTTTGCGTTATTAATTGCTACGCGTCAAAATGTCAAGCCGATTATTTAGCGATACGTTACACCATGGCGACGGCGGATCGGGAACTTTTGCGCACCCGTCGACGTCATACGGGACGCGGTACCCCACTTAAATCCCCGACGACTTACGTAGCTATTACAGGGTATTTTCTAATTGTATGTCAATAATTATG